ATATATACAGCCAAAAAGAGTCCAGTGGCTACCACAGAGATACAAGGGAAGGGAAACCTCTCAAAAGTGAAAAGTGAGGGGGAAATCCCCTTTTAGACAGCTATCACTGGGACAGGTGTCTCTGTTGGAAGACTTCTCCTCTATTCTTCTATTCTGGTGGCAGCTGTAACATTCTGGATTTCCCATCACTTTCTGTCCCAGTGGTCACCACAAGGAAAAAAAGAAATGGTGAATCTCCCCAGGTGGCAATGACAGCAATTAAAACCTGACAGAGGTTCCAACCCTTCCCTACTCTGTCCAAAACTGAGAATGAGCTTCTTCTAGGCAATAAACAGGTCCTAATAATTCTTAATTTGTTGGGGTGAAATTGGAAGAGTAAAGTATCCCTAAACAGAGGCGGACCTCATGGTCAGATTGCCCAGTGTGATGTCTACCCCTGCTACACTGTTGAGAGGTCACTGTTATAAACCTATTGTTTTTTTTAATTTTTATACTACTATGGTCCATGGTACCTTGTGTGATATTATATATTATATTCTGTACATATTTGGAAAATACCTTGAATAAAATGTATTGAAACGTGTTTGTATTTTTACACTGGCTTAAACCATAATATTCTTTTAAAACTCTGATTTTGTTTAAAAAAAAAAAAACCCCAACCCCCTCCACGTAAATGATATACTGTATATTTCAAGGAAATTAGTCAATTTTGTGGCATGTGGTCCTGATCATTTGTAGTCTCCTCCATGACCACACATGATAGTTATTGATGAGCGAACTGGCTTGGCTTTGGTTCACTTAGATGTTTGCTGAACCTGGATTTCTGGCTGGGTTCAAACAAACATCAAAGTGAACCAAACCCAAGCCAGCGTCTGAGGGCTGCCTGTGTCCTAGCAATGGATGACGCTGTGCAACATTGGCTGCTAGCATGCCATCAGCTGGCTGTGCAGTGTCATTGGTTGCTAAGATGCAGATGGGTGTACCGTAACCTATGCCGCTATAGAGTTGGCAACATCTTAGCAACCAATACCATTGTGCAGCTCATTCGCTAGTCAACCGATGACACAGTGACAGTGCAGGAGCACAAGTACTTGAACAAGGACCTTCATGGCAGGATCACCAGGTATTATTTTAATAAAAGTTGCAGATCTAAAAACAACTTTGGAAATTATATTAAGTCCCCGCTCACACCTAGGCAATTCGTACCTCAAAGGTAAGCGCAGCGAAGCGCTCAAGGGAAGGAATCTCATTCACTTTTCTTGAGCATGACAAATTGCTTAAAACAAAGAATCCCCAGTGGCGTCACAAGGGGGGTGTGGGGGGTGCAGGCCACACCCAGGTGACACCATTGGAGGGCTGACAGTCATTTTAGTGTCACCCCCCTCTGAAAAGTCGGCATACCTCATTGCGCCGGGTGACCGTCCCCTCCTCTCTCTGCCGGCGTCCATCACCAAGATGGCCACCGGCAGGTATCAATAAGATCGCCGCGCATGTGCGGTGACGTCACGCCGGGGTGTCACCCGGTAACCGCTTCGGGTGACACCTGGCCTCAGGACGCCCCCTGAGAATCCCATTAATTTCTATGGCCTCTGTTCACACCTGAGAATTTTGTCACAAGCAGAAAAACGCCTGACACTGGAAAAAGTACATGAGCTACTTTTTGACAGACCACAAATGGTCCCAAAGACTTCATTGGAAAACTTTGCGTGACCATCCTGCAAAAATGCTTGAAACGCAGGTTTCCAGGCATTTCCCATTGAAGTCTACGGCCATAAAAACGAATGGGAATCCTTGTCTTGAGTGTTTTGTAGGCTTACCTTTGGGCACCAAATTGCCTAGGTGTGAATGGAGCCTTACATGTTCATGTTTATATGAGATTTGACTGCTCAGTTGGTCATAATAAAGGAAGACCGATTTGAATTATTGTTACCTGACTCCTCCAACAGGTAAAGCTGCCCACATACCTTACAATTATCTGCAGATTTTCTGTGGTCAGGTGGAAAAGGTGAAACCGATTCCTCCATCTACACTTAACTGTGTGGATGGAGTAATCTCCACCTGGGCCAATCTGTTGCACTTTTTCCATCTGACCACAGAAAATCTGCAGATACATTGTAAGGTGTATGGGCACCTTAACAGTAAGTAGATGGTTAGATCTTACAGGGTTATTCACAAAAGGGTGAAGAGTTTGGGGAAGGCAGGAGAAGGGAACAATCTAGGACAACATAGCCGATTTGGAAAAATTCTCCAATTCAGCTCACTTTCCAGTTCAGCGATGTTGTCCTAGATTGTTCGCTTCTCCTGCCTTCTCCAAACTCTTCACCCTTCTGTGAATAACCCTGTTAGTCTTTGACTTGGAGTAGACACCTTCTGACTTGGCAACAATCAGTTTTGTTGAAAAACTCTGTAGACATTTTGTTGCTCTACTTGCCAGTTTTTTCACTCACAGGGTTTTAATTTATATTCATATTGACACTTTTACACATTTTTTTTTTTTCAAAATGGCCATTCTTATATGTTTAGGTGCAGACCACCCACAAGCGGCATGACTACATTACATCTGCTCATTTTTGCCAGTGGTCTGCTAGTGACCACAACAGGAAATGTCATCCAGGAAGTCTCATCTACTATATGTAGACACACATCAAAATTCCACTAAAGCACAACTGATCTGTTTTCTGACATGCATCTTCTACAGTCAATCTGTTTTTTGCTTTATCGGATCTTAATGCTGCAAGGGTCCATCTGTTCAGGTAAGACTTTTATTGAACAAGTAGAAGTTAGGTCTGATATTCTGAATGGAAAGCCAAAGCTAATTGGTTAAGATGGAAAACCTTGCATATGACAAATGACAAAGGGGTTTACTTGTTCACGTGTATATGTGTTCTGTCTCCTCTTAAAGGGTACAGTGTGTAAACCCAAAATCTATTTGTCAGTATATTTAGGATCATGTCTTACTGTATGCATGTCCTTTAAATAATTTATGTGAATCCGTTGCAAAGTTTCTTACCTGAAGCACTTCCTGTTAGAGATTGACAGCACTAACTGGCACTGCTTGGCATTTAGCAGCAGTGATGTCAGCCTGCTGTGCGAGCCCCTTCATTTGGCTGTTGGACTGCTTATCAATTCTGTTCATGCCATCTGCAGATCTGATTGGAAGCCCAACGGCCAACTGAAGGTGCCCACATTGCAGGCTTACAACATGGCTGCTAATTGCCAGGCAGTGCCAGCTGGTGCTTCAAACTGTTACAGGAAGTGCTTGTTACTGGCAGGATCTGCAGGGAAGAAACTTTGCAATAGATTCACAATAAGTGATTTGTTTAAAGGAGAACTATGAGGTGAGTGAAAATCACTCATCCTCATAGTTCGAGTCGACGTGTGACAATCAAACTGTCACACATCGGCTCAATAGATTGGGAAGTGAGAGAACAAATAGCGTCGCTCGCTCACTTTTTGATCATTCCCTGCAGAGAGCAGTGACTGTCAGTCACGGCTCCCTGCAGGGATTCCCCCCCTCCCCGCTCCGATCCTCCAGCGCTGACTGAAGGAACGGATGGTGGAGGGGCGGGTACAGCTGGTTCTGCCTCTAAATAGGCAGAGCCCACTATCGCTCAAGCAGCTGGGCGGATCTCGACAGTAATGTAGGGATCTGTCCCGGCTGCGGCGGTCTCAATATACCGCGAGCTGTAGCTCGCGGTATACTGAGCTTTGGGTGACGGGAGGACGCTAGTATATGTCCTCCCGTGACCCTTACGAGAACTATGGGGAAAAACACTTACCCCATAGTTCTCTTTTAAGGAAATTGTATACAGTGAGGCATGATGCCAAGCAAACTGAAAAATAGATTTTGGGTTTACATAGACTTTGGGGATTATTTATAAAATCACCCACCCAGCCATACGCTGGTCGAATGACGTTCGCACAGCATTTCCACCACTAGATGAGCCGAAGAGCATAGGAAATTACTATGCTCCTTGGTTCCATCTAGTGGCAAGAACGTTGTGGAAACATTGTAGAAAAACTTTGAACAAAAGAACAGTTGCCTTGGATGATGGCCTATGTCCACTTCCCATTGCACCAATGCCCCACAGGAAAGATCATCGCTCAAAATCCCTTGAGCATGTGCCCCAGCTTTCCCAGAAGGCAGTGATGGGTCACAGTGACATCAGTATTGCCTTAGGAAGTGGACAAAAGCCATAATTTTTTCTACAGTTTTTAGGACCATTATTTTTTTCCACAAATAGGCTCAAACTTGCAGCTTGCTCTGGCAGTCAGGGTGGCTGTCCTGTGTCCTGCTGTCCAATGTGTAGGCTGCGAGAGGCTTTTATTAAACATGAGGGTGAATTAGTGACAGTCAGCAGCATGACTG